AACGATTTGGACGATCTGAGCGTTCGACGCTCAGATCGTCCAAATCGTTCAAATCTAATTTAATCTAATCGCGCTTGAGGCGCCGCAGAACTTCCCGACGTTGCTTGAAGCGCGTCCACCATAGACTTTGCATGTAAACCTGCTGCTCCTGACGCTGAAATCGCGTTTGGTGTGAACGCACCATAAGACACAGACCTACACTTGAATATGAGATTTGTGTTTACAGAGCAGAGGTGGCAATCCTTGTCCTCGAGGGCCGCAGCCCTGCATGTTTTACTTGTTTCCCTGCTCCAGCACACCTGATTCTGTCATTAAATTACCTCCTCCATGTTCTGCTGAAGCCTGATTGTCACCCATTTATTCAAATCCGGTGTGTTGGAGCAGAGAGACAAGTTAAACATGCATTATGGTGGCCMTCGAGGACCACCCATCTCAGAGGGTTTTGTCTGGTTAGCAAAGTCTGCCATTAAACCACAGAACTAATTTAGACTAACTTTAGAATCATTGAAATTCTTACCCAGAAAAGCAGGTTAAAGAGGAAGAGCATGTATTTCACACAGCAGATGCAGCCGCGGGCCATGATTGAACAGGAAGGACCTGCAACAAACGTACAATTTAAAGAATAAAAAAACAAAATTTAATGTGCARACTGGAGTCTTCAGCAGCTTGAACAAAAACATCTGTAGATTAAGTTGAGAATAAATGAAGGYTGGAGCTTCTCCTCATTAAATCTGCCTGAACAGTAAAATCACAGCCTGTGCTCACACATTACTTTGATTCTATAATTTTCTGTGCAGCATCAGTGAAACCACATAAACCAGAAGATGAACTCACCTCTTTAACAAGCAGGAAAACAGCAGCTCTGGTGTCAGTTCTGCAAAACAAAAAGGAAAACATTTATCAATCTAAATACTGGTCAATAAAAAGAATGCAATACATTTCTCACTACGAATTATTATATTAAATTCCTCAATAGCATTGAACCATATCTTTCATTGGAATAAAAAACTACTATTAAATAGATGCATTTAAAATTGTTATACAAAAACATCACAAAACTCAAAAAGTAATAGAAGTTTAGAATAAATCAAGTATTTTTTTAGAGCTGCTGCAACTTATTACAACAAATAAATCTGAATTACAAAATGTACAACACAARTCCTAATAATTATTTAGTTGTTTTCTCCTAAATGTTTGACAAACACTATTTTCAGTGAACCATAAAAAAAACTTATCTTCACTGATGAACTTATATTTTTAAGCAATAAAAATTAAAAACAACTCCATGCTGAAAGCTTATATTATTTAAACTCTGAAACTTTAGTGGTAACAYAATGCACTGATTGTCTTAGTTTTAAACATTTTATCAAAATAAGCGATTTTTATTCAACCATATTTGATTTAACTTGCGGTGACGTCACTGGTATAACTTTTGATTTCTACGTTTGATAAGTTTGCTCTAAAAACTGCAAACATCTCGTTTTAAAACGCGTAGATTTTCCTCACGAATAGTTACGTTCTTCGACAGAACCGAASCTTTTTTCATCGCCTCAGGACGTGTTTGCTTCCATGATAATAGCTATGTCGGGGGGGAAAAGTGACGAAGAAGAAACAAAAAAGGACAATAAATTCTTACCTTTGGCTACGAGCTCGCGTGCATCTTTCCACCAAAAAAACGACGTTTGACCAGCAGCAGATACTTTCACATGCTACTACCCTTCATTTTAATTGTTTTTCCATCTAAAACAAATCAAGTGTTTAACTGCAAAGTTCTGTCGACGACTGGAGATGGGTTTTTTTGTGAAGGCGGAGCCGCGGCGTGGAGGAGTGGCCTGTGGGAAAGAGGGAAAGAGACAGGCCGGTGTTGTGCTGGAAAATGCAACCCGGTTGCTGAAAGCTYGTTTCAAAGTGCCTGTTTGTCCAACCCGCAACAACTTTTTCAATAAAGTAATACAAGGTTGGATATCAATGAAAAATATTTCGTCTAGCCTGAATTTATCATTGAGTTGAACCGCCTCAAATTACGCTTGCCATGAAGGTGTTCCATTTTTGGATTCAACTTTCCAATTTTAATCAGGCGGATAGCAGGGACAGCTATGTAAACATGATGAGAGAAACGAGGAAAAAACAAGATTGCTGTCACTTTTATTCGTATTTAGAATAAACTATATTAACTTATTTTCAATCCAACATTTGTAAAAAAAAAATTCTATAATTAGTTCCCAATTAAAAAGGGTATTATGCAAAACAAGCATTATTTTTTTTGCATCATGTTTTAAGAGAAATTTTAGAAAATAGATTTATGAAGTGTATATTGGCAAAAATTTGTTAAAATATTCCTACTTGATCCACAAAAGTAAAATTAAGCTTTTAGAATTAGTTGTCAAAATAAGTCATTTATACTCATGTTAGTCAACATTTATAAATTTTGCTTAATTTTTGTTCTATTTAAAAACACTAAGACTTCTTAGACTATACCACATATGAATTCATTGTTTTAAGGAATTTTATTGAAAAATGATTACAAAGGGAAACACAGGGAAGCTATTTAAAAAAGAAAACATATTCTTAATAATACTTTATGTCAATAAAATAAATATTTTTTTGCCTTTTTAATGCTCTTATGTTTTTTAAAAAAGCACAACAAAATGTGTGACCCTTGTTTAAATAAACCTACAGTATAAARTTCACATAATAAATGGTAATTAATGCACAAAAAACAGGAGTACTTTTTGGGCAGAAAACACTTGTCTAAAATTTAATTTTTGACTTTTTACACTATAAACTTCAGAAGTCGGATTATAAAGTCAACATTAATAATTTAATAAATATTCTTCATCATAACATGATATAAATACATAACTCGGAACAAAAAATGCCAAATAAAAGAAGAAAACATACAAAAACATTAAAAGCTTGCTTCTCATTTTTGTTACAACTGTTGAGCATACATTGTGTGTGTGTGTGTGTGTGTGTGTGTGTGTGTGTGTGTGTGTGTGTGTGTGTGTTATCAGTAAAAGTTCTTGTCTGTGGGGGTCTGCAGAGACAACGTGACCCTTCATCAGTTCATCCCAGAACCCATCGATCCGACTGAGACGAGTTCAGCTGCACCGACTCGCTGCTCTCCCCGTCCTCGTGCTGAGAAACAGCAAATATCGACAAAAATAATTAAACAAATAAATTGTTAAATAAATAAATAACGTAAATAAATAAACACAACATCTTGATAAATATTTTTCTCCCAGTTGATCTGAGGAGTTCATAAATAATGTGACAAATGTCTGACGGTCAGCAGACCTTGTTGGCGATGGCCCGGAGTTTCCCCAGCAGGGAGGGCTTCTGGGTGTAGACCACRTCGTCGTCTGGCTCCTCCCCTTCAGCCAGAGCACAGCTGTCTGCAGCTGGCAGCTCGCACTCCTTGTTGGCAGACATCACCAGGCGGGAGTACTTGTACTCCAACCTGGTTACACACCGCAGCCCGTGAATCAGCAAATTAGCCACCACAAGAAGCTTCTAACTTTTGGTTTTTTCTTTGAGTCACAGATTTTTTTAGCTGCCGACAAATCTGTCTTGGCTAATTATTGTTTTAGAAGTCCTTATTACTAATCAACAGTGGTGGGCAGTGCTAATCCAAACATTAGCTCCGCAATTTCTTAAGCGCTTATAAAAATATTTAGGTCCGCAACTTCAAAATCGCTAATGCTGTACAAAAACTAGCAGAAGCGAAGTTTAAAGCGCAAGTTCAATTTGACACTTACTAGCTGACAATTCATGTACAATATATGCACAACACTGCCAACTAGTAGTGTATGAACTCTTTTACAACTTATTTCTACAGCTGCTGATTGCTGGGGATCTGATTTCCTGAAACAGAACTTTGGCTCCTGGTGTAAAAAATAAAACGTTTTTAAGGATTGCTAGTTCGGCTGCTTCTTCGTCTTTTTCTTTTGTTTGTTGTAGATTTTTCATTAAAGAAGCATCAATGAAGTAATTTCAAAACTAATTATTGGAAAACTGAAGCGACGCATTCTGGGTACATGACGTATTTGATTTGTGACGAGAAACAAAAGCACGGGGAATAGGAAACTAATATCTTCCTTTCAAAATAAGAGCTTGGATTTTAAAGTTTTCCAGTTCACCTGAAACTCATCAGACTTAAGAAGTCTCTTGGACAAGAGATGAAACGTTTCACTAAAGAAGAACCCATTCAGAGGACCTACTTATTTTTTCTTTTTGATTTTTTCTACCTGGATTAGGACATTTTCCATGTAGTTGCTCCAGTTGACCACTAGATGTCAGTCTACACCAGCATAACATCTTTAAATCATTTATACATCTCTAACACCATTGGCCGATTGCTTTTGAGCTCCAGCTTTTAAACTTTTTTTTTTAAATCGGGAGCTCTGGTTGTAAAGTAAAATAAATCAATACATACAAAATTTTAGTRTGGATTACAAACGTTTACTGTTTTTGCTATTGCCTTCCTGCTACATAAGCAGACACAAAGTATTGTGGGAAATGAGAACCGTGGCCGAAAGCAACAGTCTGCAAGGGTGTATACCTTCCCAATACCTTCCGCTGCTCAAGATAATGATGACTGGATATGACCAGATAAAATAAAAACAGAACAGTTTGTGGTCACTGACAAAAATATTCTCATGTATTTTTCTGTAAATAACTCTTCAGTCATGGGCGTAACCGCCATAGGTACAGGGAGGGACATGTCCCCCCCACTTCCCATATCTGTGCCCTCTGCCCCCCCCACCATTTCAACCGAAGCAGAAAAAAAGACCTTTAAAAAATGTGTCTGTCCGTCCCCCCACACACACTTTTAGGATGGTGATTACACCTTTGTCTTCAGTAACAAATGAGTTCTCACCTCTGGTTTTTCTTCCAGAAATAAAAAGTGAGGGAGACGAGCAGCACGGCCAGAAAGGCGCCGACTCCGAGCCCGACCTTCAGCCACAGAGCGATGACCTCACAGGGGGCGGAGCTTCGAGGAGGCAGCAAAACACCCCCGGTGCACAACTTTGGCTCGTTCCACACGTAAAGAGTTTCCTGAGACAACGACATATTTCCCTACTGATTAACATGATTATTTATAGAAATATGTAAAAAAAGTTGAAACCTTTGCTTTATCATCTGATGAAACTCAACAAAAACAAATAAAATATATGACGAGTGAAGGATGTCGGTGTATCTGTTACCTGGACGCCTCTCTTACACGCTCCCTCGATCTGATGGAAGTCATTCTGAGTGCAGCGTGGACAGGCACTGGAGCTCTCCCACAGGAAGTGGAAGGTGCATCCGTCACACGTTCCTGCAGGACAGGAGCTGCACAAACAAACAAATCACACAGATTTTCTTTGTTTCTTAAATAAGAAAAGATTTTCAATAAAGTCATAAATTCAAAATGAATGTTTTAAACGTTTGTGTGYAGAAAAAAAGTTTGAAACTTTAAATGAGTTTATATGTTGAGGTYTTCGGATGATGTAGGACATGTGGGACACACACAAACACACATTTACACTTGATGATTTGATTTATTTTGCAGCTCTGTTTGTATATTTTCCTGTCCTGAGCGGCACACGTACACGGGCACAGATAATTCCCCTCGCTCAGATTTTTCTGGGTTACATCGAACCATAACRACTGAACTCCGGCCCTGATCACACGACGCCGTCGCCTGAATCGACCTAAAYGAAAATCAAAACACAATAAGTGTAAAAAAAAAAACAATAGAAACGTGTTAATATTTCCTGTTTTTTTTATTCTCTACCTGTAGAAGAAGTTGATGTCAGGAACATCATTTAACTTTTCTGGGAACAGATCGGGTTGAGCGTTCACTCCGCTGAGGACAGTGTTCACTGTCGCTCCTAAAAAGAAACATGAAATCAGTTTTTAACCAGATGATTATCACAGAAACACACCCGGAAATCCGCATGTGGTCGTACCGATGAAAGTGTCAGCGAGGCTGATGGACTGGGAGGATATGGCCATCCTGAAGCCCCGCCCATCTGCTGGGATGATGGTTGATTGACAGATGAAACTATCCACYGTGTTGACAAACTGAACCAAGTCGCTCTGGTCGTCTTTGTTCGACACATCGGTGACGTTRTCAGTGCAGACTGCGGCTTTTTTCCCCTGAGAGGACAAAAAAAATAACCTGCAGTTTCTAAAGTTGTGTTTTATTTGTTACAGAGGAGAGAAATTCTGTTCAAACATAAGAAATGTCACTTTGACCGTAAATATGAATTAGCATTTTAGAAATCCATTTCTTGATGTGGCTAACAGGGTTACCTCGTGGCCACAGAGGCTGACATTAAACAGGTGAAGGTATTTTGTGCCTTTAGAGGTGAAACTCGGTCCGATGATCAGTGAAGCCACGTCGCTCATGGGACTGAGGTCAAAGGTCAGTGTTCGGTTGTTCTCGGTGTAGGAGAAGGAGCAGCTGCTGTAGCAGCGGGAATGTTCCTGATAAAAA